TCAGATGGACGGTTTCTTATCGTTAAAAGGAGACAAAACAACTCTTGTAGATAATGTCTCAGCTTCCCGTTCTAGATTTACCAAGACCAAGCACTCTAATTGAACCGTCAGAAGAAGTTTTATTTAGTAATCAATATGGAGCAGACACAGACAGAGATGTAGCACTTAGCAGAAATCAAACAAATTATACAACTATCAAGGGAAATAACATAGATTGCAATGCTACAAGTGATGACAGTATAGCATATTTAACACTAGATCCAGCCGGAAATATTGAATTGAGTAACGTTATACTTCCAGCAGTCGCTGCCGATTCATATTGACTGAGTGGAAATTCTTCAAATGATATTAGAACATGAGATTTACAGTGCATTTGTGGAATTTGGAAAAAGAACGTAAACTTGTAGGAAAGCCAGTGATGAACATTTAGATACGCTTATGAAAATACAAAGTTTAGGACATAAACAAGTAAGCTTGGGGACAACATCAATAGCACAAGCAGGGATAGGAGCAACACCGAGTGCTTCTTACTTTTCAAACGTAGGCGGAGCAAGTAACTTTAATTTGGCACGTGTAGCAAATGATTTGACAGTATTGCGTAATTTGAACTTAACATCATCAACCGGTGATATGCAAGTTCCCACAGCAGGAATGGATATTCATAGAAACTCAGGGGAGGCTAATGGTAAAGGGGTCCTTAGCCAACACTTTCCTGGGTCACTTAGCCCGCTTTTTTAGGGGTCGCTTGGCAAACTTTTTTGTTGGCCGCTTGGCACACGAGGAGCTGTCTGCGGATCAACATGTAGGCCGTGATAGGATCAGATTCGGCAAAATGGGCCAAAGGGCCATCTTGAAGCCTAGTTTGTGGCAGCATGATTGAGGGGTTTTTATGTTAGTTTGGGGAAGTAAACCCTAAATCCAAAACCCTTGAACCCTAAACCCAAAATCCACAACCCTCACGCTTTAAATCCAAACCCCCTAAACCCTAACCCTAAATCCAAAACTGCTAAACCCTAAGCCCTAAATCCAAAACCCCTGAACCCTAAACCCTAAATACTAAACCCCTAAACCCCTAAACCCTAAATACTAAACCCCGAAACCCTTAACCCTTAAATCCAAAACCCCTGAACCCTAAGCCTTAAATCCAAAACCCCTAAACCCTCAATCCAGAACCCTCAAACCCTAAATCCAAAACCCCTAAACCCTAAATCCAAAACCCCTAAACGCTAAATGCAAAACCCCTAAACCCTAAACCCTAAATCCAAAACCCTTAAATTCCCACCCAGGCTGGCTTAGGCCATGCCCAGCATTTTCCAGGGTGCTTGGACCGAGAATTACGTTTGCCTGAGCCAAAAAATGCAAAACCCACTACCAAACCCAGTGGACGAGGCCCTTGAAGTTGGAGGTTTCGGAGGCCTACCTCCAGCCGCGGAGCAGCAAGACGCCCCTAGACCCTAAATCCAAAGCCTCAAAGTCTAAATCTAAAACCCCCTCACCCTAGCCCTAGACTCCTAAACCTTAAGCCCTAAATCCACAACCCCTAAACCCTCATCACTGAATCCAAACCCCTATGCCTAAACCCTAAATCCAAAACCCAACACCCCCAAACCCTAAACCCTAAATCCAAAACCCCTAAACCTTCAAACCCAAAACTCCTAAACCGTAGACCCTAAATCCAAGACCTTCAAACCTTAAATCCAAGACCCCTAAACCCTAACCTTGGATCCAAAACCCCCAAACTCTAAGCCCTAAATCCAAAACCTTCACCCCAAACCCTAAATCCAAAACCCTAAACCCTAAATACAACACCACTAAACCCCTAAACCCTAAATCCAAAACCCTAAACCCTAGACCCTAAATCCAAAAACTTTAAATTCATGGCTTAGGCCGCCCAGCTACGATGGTTGGCGGCGCTTTTGCCCCCTTGACCTTGATAGCGCAGGCCGACATACCTGGACCTGCCTCAGCACAGGCTTTCCTCAGGGGCCGAAGAGCCTAGGGGAAGGCAGCAGCTACCAAGCACAGCAAAAAACAAAAAAGCAGAGGACCCTTCCAGGCGGCCTTCCAGGGCTTTTCAGGGCTTGCAACGGTTTCTCATCCAAGGGCCTAGAAAGACCTTCAAGCGGCATAGCACGGCGAGGCCTCCCAAGAGCTTATGCGGGGCCACCACTTCCCAGCAACCTTCGAAAGACAGGGGCCTCTAACAAGGCGGCCTCCAGAGGCCTTCCCAAAACCTTTTCTGTTTGGACAGAGAGCACCTCTTCTCTTTTTAAGGGGACAGAGTCAGACTTCAGGACGAACCCTGCAGTCTTGCCAAGGCTTTTCTTCAAGCCTTTCGGAAACCAGAAGCTTGGCTATGTTGACCAAGATGGGGACCTAATTGTTTAGGTTCCAAACCCTGATAGGAATAGGTTTGGGTGGTTTGGCCGACTGGGACGGCGTGGGGTGGGTGAATGGGCTAGATGGCCTCCCACAGTCAGGCCGAAGCAGCTGCTCGAGGCGACTCTGTGGCATGACTATCTTTGCTTCAGTGCTATATCACAACAAACCGTAAACCCTAAATCCAAACCCCTAAACCCCCAACACCCTTAAACCCTAAATCCAAAAAAACCTAAACCCTGAAATCTAAACCCCTTAAATTCCCAAGTGCTTAGGCCCAAAATCCAAAACCCCTAAACCTTCAAACCCAAAACTCCTAAACCGTAGACCCTAAATCCAAGACCTTCAAACCCTAAATCCAAGACCCCTAAACCCTAACCTTAGATCCAAAACCCCCAAACTCTAAACCCTAAATCCAAAACCCTCAAACCCTAAGTCCAAAACCCCTCAGCCCTAACCCTACATGCCAAACAATAGAGGGGTCGCTTAGCCGATCGGTCGCTTAGCCCGCTTTTTTAGGGGTCGCTTGGCAAACTTTTTTGTTGGCCGCTTGGCACGCGAGGAGCTGTCTGCGGATCAACATGTAGGCTGTGATAGGATCAGATTCGGCAAAATGGGCCAAAAGGGCCATCTTGAAGCCTAGCTTGGGGCAGCATCCAACCCCTAAACCCTAAACCCCAAATCCACCAACCCCGAGCACTAAACTAGATCCAAAACCCCTGAACCCTAAACCCTTAATCCGAAATCCGTAAACCCTAAACCTTAAATCCCAAACCCCTAAACCCTAACCCTACATCCAAAGCCTCAAACCCAAAACCCACAACCCTAACCCAAAATCCACAAACCCCCAAACCCCAAACCCTAAATCCAAAACCTTAAGCCCTAAATCCAACACCCCTAAACATTAAATCCAAAACTCCTAAACCCTACACTCTAAATCCAAAACCCTTAAACCCCAAATCCAAAACCCCTAAACCTTGAACACTGCATCCAAAGTCCTTAAACCCTAAAGCCCTAAGTCCAAAACCCTTAAACCCCAAATCCAAAACCCTCAAACCCTCAACCCAAAAGCCCAAACCCCCAAACCTCCAAACCCTAAATCCCAAACCTTCAAACCCTAAATCCAAAACCCTAAACCTTAACCTTAACCCCAAACCCTCAAACCCTAAACCCTAAATCCTCAAACCCTAATTCTCAATCCGCAACCCCCAAACCCTAAATCCAAAACCTTCAAACCTTAAATCCCAAACCCCTAAACGCTAAATGCAAAACCCTTAAACCCTAAATCCACAACCCCCAAAGTCTAAACCCTAAATCCAAAAGCCCTACACCCTAACCCTAAATCCAAAACCCCTAAACCCTACACCCTAAATCCAAAGCCACTAAACCCTGAACACTGCATCCAAAATCCTTAAGTCCTAAAGCCCTAAGTCCAAAACCCTTAAACCCCAAATCCAACACCCCTAACCATTAAACCCTGAATCCAAGACCCTCAAACCCGAAATCCAAAATCCCAAAGCGCTAAATGCAAAACGGTCCCACCCTAAATCCAGAACCCTTAAACCTTAACCCTAAATCCAAAGACGCCTAAAGCCTAAACCCTAAATCCCAAAACCCTAAACCTTAACCTTAAATCCAAAGCCCTCAAACCCCCAACCCAAAAGCCCAAACCCCCAAACCCTAAATCCAAAACCTTCAAACCCTAAATCCAAAACTCCTAAACCCTAACCTTAACCCCAAACCTTCAAACCCTAAACCCTAAATCCTCAAACCCTAATCCTCAATCCGCAACCCCCAAACCCTAAATCCAAAACCTTCAAACCCTCAATCCCAAACCCCTAAAGGCTTCATGCAAAACCCCTAAACCCTAACTCCACAACTCCCAAAGTCTAAACCCTAAATCCAAAAGCCTTACACCCTGACCCTAAATCCAAAACCCCCAAACCCTAAACCCTAAATCCAAGACCCTCAAACCCTAAATCCAAAACCCCTAAGCCCTAACCCTACATGTCAAACACTAAAGGGGTCGCTTAGCCAACACTTTTCTGAGTCGCTTAGCCCGCTTTTTTAGAGTCGTTTGGCAAACTTTTTTGTTGGCCGCTTGGCACGCGGGGAGCTGTTTGCGGATCAACATGTAGGCTGTGATAGGATCAGATTCGGCAAAATGGGCCAAAAGGGCCATCTTGAAGCCTAGCTTGGGGCAGCATCCAACCCCTAAACCCTAAACCCTAAATCCACCAACCCCGAACACTAAACTCTAGATCCAAAACCCCTGAACCCTAAACCCTTAATCCGAAATCCGTAAACCCTAAACCTTAAATCCCAAACCCCTAAACCCTAACCCTACATCCAAAGCCTCAAACCCAAAACCCAAAACCCTAACCCAAAATCCACAACCCCCCAAACCCCAAACCCTAAATCCAAAACCCCAAACCTTAAATCCAAAACCCCTAAACCCTAAATGCAAAAGCCCTAAACCCCAAAACCTTAAATCCCAAACCCTTAAACCCCAAATCCAAAACCCCTAGACCTTGAACACTAGATGCTTTGGCTGCAAGTGCGTGCAGGAACAGGGTAGTATTTTTACGCCCAGACCACACCGCCCGGTGTGAAGCGCAGCAATGGCCAGCAGCAGTAGCAGTCTGGATGTGACCAAGCAGTTTCTGGAAACCAGAAAGGTCTACCAGACAAAGGAGTATGAGGCGGTGCAGGCAATTTTCTGGAACACTCAGCGCAAGCGTTCGGCTCCAACACCTGTTACCAGTGGCCTGACCACACCGCCAACAGAAGGAACCCCAGACGTGGAGATGGAGCCTGCAACAGCCTCACCAGGTCTTCTGCAACCGTTCTCCCTCCAAGACCACACCGCACTTTCTGCAACGTTGGGGTCCATGGGAGTGAACATCAACCAGCCGCAGGAGATAGAGAACTGGTTGAACGCTGCGCCAACTACAAACAGGGAGATCTTCAACATGGTCCGTTCGTATCACGAGCAGGTGATACGCCCCGAGTACTACAGCCTAGTGTGCCAGCTGGAGACAGGCCTGAAGTCAATTTCTGACAGCGTGTTCAAGGTTCGTCAGGAACTGGCGTGGATGAGCAGCGAAAACCGGCTTATGCAGAAGCATGCGTGTGGACTCCAAGTGCTGACGACGGGTTGGCCCCCAGCACTCAAACCGAAGGAGCGCGAGTGCACGATTTGCTGGATGTTGTCCCAGGTCAAGGACATCGTCGCGCACCTCACCATCAGGGGACCACACCGCGCACGAGCTCCATAGGTTCCTCAACGTACTCCAGAACGAGCCCACGACAGTCCCCCAGCAGAACGAGTTCTACTCCACCATGACCATGCTCAATTTCCGAGGCTGAGGCAGGCCTTTATGCAGCATTTTGGGGGCTCGCAAGGGGTCTCGGTGTACCTCGATGAGAGTACACCTGTACATAACAAACATGTCCGTGTTTCTCCAGCTTCCCCCCAATGGCAGAGGAAGTTAGAAGCACCGTTACGAGTCCTTCTGGCGTGTATTAACAAACACCCAGACCACACCGCGACTTCGAGGTTGACCATTTTATGGAAAACCTTGACATTGCTCGAGCTGCAAGCCGATGCTGAGTTTAAGTCCGACATCAAAGCATGGGCGCGCCTTTTTTACAGCAATGTCGATGGCAACTTTAGAGGTCGCCTTGAAGTTGTGGAGGATTTGAAGCGCATTGTTATGTCCCCACCTTCTGAGCAGGGTTCTCCAGAGGATACCCTGTGGGCGGAGCAGTGGAACGTTCTTATGTGGGGTCCACAGCATGAGCTGGACCGCGCAGAAGAGACGCTGTGCAAGACTGCCAAAGCGGCAGCAATGGTTTCAGGAAAGGGGCTGAACCACGGAAAGGGTGGACGTCACTGGTCACAAGTGGCCATTTACAGCAGTGACTATGCCCCGTACCCTTTTGAGTTGGATTTCCTCACTGTAGATGGAGTGCACTTTGTTTGGGGTGAGATGTGTGATAAATTTCAAAAGGAGGAAGAGAAGGTGGGCAGCTACCAGCTTGCCACCATCCAGGGAAAACCTTTTAAAGGGGCAGGGCAAAGCTCTGACCAAACCGCCTCAGCAGCTGCAGCCATGAACCCACCTGCCACCCTACCCCCTAAGGCTAAGGCAGGCAAGGGAAATGGTGGAAGGGGCAAAAATGCCTCCTGAACAGCTGGCTGGAAAGGTTCGAGGGCTTCAGTGAGATCACACCGTCACCTTCTTTGTGTGATCTCCAGCCCAAGTTTGAAGGTTAAGGTTGAGCCCTTTGGAATTTTTAAGCCTATGCTCCCTTACCTTCCCAATACCTTTGATGCTCCCCCTCCATTTGAACTTTCTAACAGGGGTGATGCACAAGGTATCTTTTGCAGTTTTTGGAATGCTTCAGGTCCAGACCACACTGCACAGTACCTCAAAGTGCTACAAGCCAACAGGAATAAGCAGATGCACATCTCACAGGGTAATACCATGATTAGGTTAGAAGTGGAAGACAATCAGCTAAGTGGAAGAATGCTGTTGAATCTGAGTGAGTTGATCCCCCACCCAAACCTCCCCACCCAAGATGAGCAGGTCAGGGGTGAAAGGGTATATCATATTAATGAGTTGTTGAAATTTAGAACCTCCCAAAGAGATGAAGTTTTTGTTCCCCCAACTTTGATCACACCGCAAGTTAATGGCTCCGCCGTGCTGCCATCCAAAGGAAGGTCAGGGCGAAGAATCAAGATACAGTTACCTAATGGTAATGTGTTTTACAAGAAAAAGCCTAAAAAACACAGAAAAGGTTTCACAGAATTCGCTTATAATTCAAATTCAAGCCAAACTCCGCCTCCCAGAGGCGCACCGGGTGTCCCTGTAAGGGACAACGGAGAGAGACCCCAAGGGGATGGTGCCCAAATCCTATCCAGGGGCGCCAAAAAACGGTCTGATAGGAGACGTGTGGCGTAGACAGGGTAAACAGGCTCAAGCTAAGGGAGTGGGTTTCTCCAGCTTTGTACCTCCCCCACCCAAGAAAGCAGCTCAGTCCAGGGCCAAATGGTTTAGACATTCTATCCTTTGGCAGGAACAAATGAAAAGGCAGAGGAAGAGAAAGATTACAAACTTTCCGACCACACCGCCTTTATCATATGATTCCAGAATCAAGATAGGAGCCATCAATGTCCAAGGGTTTGCGGACACACTGAAGCTAAACAATTCAATCCAAATGATGCAGGAACATAAAGTAGATGTTTTAATTCTGTCTGAGACAAAAAGCTATCAGTATTATTCGTACACCTCGGAACAACACTTGGTTATCCTATCAGGTAACTCTAGAGACAAGTATGCGGGAGTAGGAGCCATTGTTTCCCCCAGACTTCGACCACGCCTGTTGGATGTTATACAATACTCCTCTAGACTCATTCACCTTGCCTTCAAAAAACAGGGAGGCAACTTTCATGTTGTAGGAATGTATGCCCGACATTCAGGCTTGGGTCTTGAAGAGGTAAGAGAGCCCTTTTGGGAGGATCTAGATGCCCATCTCAGTTCCATTCCTGGTCCAGAACCTGTTTATGTCACTGGAGATTTCAATGTTAGGTTCCAAGCCTCCCACAAAAATGATTTAGGGGTAACAGGACCATTCACATATGGCAAGGGATCACAGTTTATTGACCACAACGCATCTTCCAACAGATCTTTATGTGTGAGAACCATGCAAACTCAGGATATGGTTGAAGTAGCTTCTTACAAGACCCCCAACATGTTGCAGCAGATCACCTATAGAGACAAAACAGCTCCCCCAAAAGATTGGTCGCAGTTTGTTCTTGATCCCATAGGGATTCAACAATTCTATGACCTGCTACACAACAACTTGCAGGAATATGCTCTTGCCACAGCTGCACATGTGAGGGCCTACCTGGATCTCAACGATGTCCTTCCACCACCAAAGCTTCTCCCTCAACTGGACCCTGTAAGGTTTCAGAGGCTAGACCACTTCTTTACTAGAAGACAATGGATGAATACTGTACGCAACTGTAGATCGAAGCTGTGCACCGGATTTCCTTCAGATCATTACTTGTTGGTAACAGGCCATGCAGGAGGCCGCAAAACAAACGTTCAGCGCAAAATCGCTCAATCCGAGAAGACCGTGGATAGCTCCGGAAACGCTACAACTTCTTGCAGAGGCCCGAATCCTAGAAGCTAATCAAGATCCTGACGCGAGGAAAAAACGAAATCAGGCCAAAAGGCAAGCTCGCAAGGATAGGATAGCGTGGGTACACCGTTAAGTGGCTAGTGACCCTCAAGGGCAGGGATATTGGAAGGCAGCAAGATCACAGAAAAGAGGTTTTCAAGGCAAGCGCCGACACCTTATGGTAGAGGGTAAACCAGTTCCCTGGAGTAAATCGCACGATGCCTTTAAACAACATCTAGAGCATAGTCAGTGGTGTAATAAACACCTGGACCACACCGCGCTTAAGTCAAGGAATCGGTTGCACCCTCAAAGCCAAGACCATGCTCCTTTCACCCTGGAGGAATTGCAGGCCTCGCTAGCTAAGCTAAAAAACAACAAGGCACCTGGTCCCGACCAAACTCCCAACGAGTTATTCAAGCTTTTGGACGCAGAATCAGAGGTAAAACTACTCGAGCTCTACAATGAAATTTGGGAGACCGGAGAAGCACCAGCAGAATGGAAGCAGGCGGTTATAGTTACCCTACACAAAGGTAAGGGCAAGGACACAGACCCCGCTAACTATAGGCCTATCTTGCTACTCAACGCAGTCTATAAAGTCTTTGCAGCCATGCTACAGTCAAGACTCAGTAAAACACACGAGGAAAATATCCGAACCATGCAATACGGTTTTAGGGCCCAGAGAGGTACAGTTCACCCGCTATTCATCTTAAGAAGAGCTATGGAATGTCGGAGATAACTAACAACCCTCTCAACCTGCTATTCTTAGACTGGAAACAGGCCTTCGATTCCCTTGATCACAACGCCATGCTCATTGCTCTGGAAAGATTTGGCTTGTCAAGCAGAGCGCTAAAAATAATAAGTTCTTTGTACACAGAGCCGATGTTTTTCACTAAAGGCATCAACGACCAAACTGCCACGGGGACAGTTGGTTCGGGTATTAGGCAAGGGTGTCCACTCAGCCCGTATCTATTTTTACTGGTGTTAACGGTCATCTTTGAGGACGTAGACCAGGAGCTTTTATCGCAGGGGGTAGCTACTAACACATGGTCAGCGGGACATCCGGTTTATGATAGTACGCAGATGACACCCTGTTCGTATCCCTGACCGCACCGCAGATGCAGTCAATGCTGAGCGCCTTGGAGTTCCAAGCGGCGCTTCACGGGATGAAACTAAACTACGAGAAAACAGAGGTCCCACACCATCCAAAATATACCCCTCCAGATCTGAAATTCAGTAATGGTGAAAAGGTACAGACCGCAACGCAACTTAAGTATCTAGGGTCCATGATTTCGTGGGTTAAACCTTACGAAGCCGCCTATCAGCGCAGAGCGGGTTTAGCAGAGACGGCGTATAAAAAGCTGAGATGAATCTGGAACAGCTCCCTGTCTAAAAAGAAGAAGCTACACACCTTTCAATCCACTTTCTTGCCTACCCTCACATATGGTCTAGATGCTATCACTCTCACGGATAAATTTCTAGATAGGGTGGATGCATACTACATCAGGTTCCTAAGAAGAATTGTCAACATCAAGGCGTCGTATTACTCTAGAGTTACCAACCACAGTGTATGGAGGATAGCAGGGTACCCAAAGAAGCCGTCTTTCTTCCTCAAAAAATCGCAGGCTAAGCTATTAGAGGACGTATTCTTTGCAGAACCTAGCGAACCCATGCACCATGTGGTATTCTGTTCAGCCTACAAGGATAGAATCTCTACAACAGGACGTAGAAGAGGTATGAAGTTTCCGTATTTCATAGAGACCACAACGCGTAGGCAATTCCCGCAACACTGGAATAGCAACCCTGGACGAGGAATACTAGGCCCCAATTCAGTATATTCCTCAGTGAACAGAGACCTGAAGCATTCCTCCGAGCATGCGTCAATGCGCGCCCGCAGACAAAGGTGCGCACGGCCCTAGCAAAAGACCTTGAACACTGCATCCAAAGTCCTTAAACCCTAAAGCCCTAAATCCAAAATCCCTAAACCTTAAATCCAAAACCCCCCCAAGCACTAAACCCTAAATCCAAGACCCTCAAACCCTAAATCCAAAATCCTTAAGCGCTGAATGCAAAACGGTCACACCCTAATCCAGAACCCCTAAACCTTATCCCTAAATCCCAAGTCGCCTAAAGCCTAAACCCTAAATCCAAAACCCCTAAACCCTTCACCCTAAATCCAAAACCCTCAAACCCTCAACCCAAAGGCCCAAACCTCCAAACCCCCAAACCCTAAATCCAAAACCTTCAAACCCTAAATCCAAAACCCCTAAACCCTAAATGCAAAACCCCTAAACCCTAAACCCCATAACCCTAAATCGATATCCCCTAAACCCCAAATCCAAAACCTCTAAACCCCCTAAAGCCCTAAATTCAAAATCCCTAAAACCCTAAATCCAAAACCCTTAACCACTAAACCCTAAACCCAAGACCCTCAAACCCTAAATCCAAAATCCTCAAGCGCTAAATGCAAAATGGTCACACCCTAAATCCAGAACCCCTAAACCTTAACCCTAAATCCAAAGACGCCTAAAGCCTAAACTAAACCCTAAATCCAAAACCCCAAAACACTACACCCTAAATCCCAAACCCAAACCCTCAACCCAAAACGCCCAAACCCCCAAACCCTAAACCCAGAACCCCTAAACCCTTCACCCTAAATCCAAAACCCCTAAACCCTAACCTTAACCCAAAACCCTCAAACCCTAAACCCTAAATCCTTCAACCCTAATCCTCAATCTGCAACCCCCAAACCCTAAATCCAAAAAAACCTTCAAACCTTAAATCCCAAACCCCTAAACGCAAAACGCAAAACCTTTGAACCCTAAATCCACAACCCCGAAAGTCTAAACCCTAAATCCAAAAGCCCTACACCCTAACCCGAAATCCAAAACCCCCAAACCCTACACCCTAAATCCAAAGCCACTAAACCCTGAACACTGCATCCAAAATCCTTAAGTCCTGAAGCCCTAAGTCCAAAACCCTTAAACCCAAAATCCAACACCCCTAACCACTAAACCCTAAATCCAAGACCCTCAAACCTTAAATCCAAAATCCCTAAGCGCTAAATGCAAAACGGTCACACCCTAAATCCAGAACCCCTAAACCTTAACCCTAAATCCAAAGACGCCTAAAGCCTAAACCCTAAATCCAAAAACCCTAAACCCTAATCTAAAATCCAAAGCCCTCAAACCTTCAACCCAAAACGCCCAAACCCCCAAACCCTAAACCCAGAACCCCTAAACCCTTCACCCTAAATCCAAAACCCCTAAACCCGACCCTTAACCCAAAACCCTCAAACCTAAACCCTAAATCCTCAAACCCTAATCCTCAATCCGCAACCCCCAAACCCTAATTCCAAAACCTTCAAACCCACAATCCAAAACCCCTAAAGGCTTAACGCAAAACCCCTAATCCCCA